GCTCTCTGTGTGTTATCAATTACATGTTGTTCCTACAGCCGCTGTGTCCCCGGGAGGATAAACAGCAGGCCTGGCCGGCTAAGAGAGGGGGCGGAGTCCAGCGGCCGGCCCGGGACCGTGCCCAGAACCGGGTGCCCCCTCCCCCTGCACGCAGCCTGCGCCTCTGGCTGCGCCACGTGCTGCTGTTTTTCAGGGACCGGCTTGAACGCTGGCACTCAGGCTTTCAGCCCTGGATCCTCAGTGCCTCAGTGTCCCGATGTTGCTCAGTTCTGTTTTAAGATCCTGTTAACTGGCAGGGACCACCCCATTCCGGATCATTGTGTAATCATTCAGCAAAGACTAGGGCTGTATTTGACTCTAGATCTAGACCTGTACTGAAGAGTCAGAACTGCTTGTTCTCAAGTGGGGAAGCAAAGTATAGACAGGTCTCGCAGTGGTGCCTGCTGTGAAGAATATAATCCTAGGTAATTTGTCCAAGGGAAAGTGACTTCTGAGTTGAGATCTAAATAATGAGCTTCCACCTGGGATGCTAGGAGAGCCAGGACTTCCACGTGGGGTGTGGGGGGTTGGTGCCATGGCCCAGCTCTCTGTTAGTGCAGATGAGCAAGGCCTGAGGCACTTGGAGAGGCACCATGTAGGTGGGCAGGGTTCTGGTGCTCTGGGCCCTGGAAGAATCAGAAGCATTTTTATGGGTAAGGGAGATTCTTCCATGCAGTTCCATTTTGCCATCGTCCTTTTGTACCTACGCCCCCCCCCCAAAAAACTCCTTCTGTGTTTCAGCAGGATCTCAGGTAGCTGCCCTTGAACTCGTGATCACCTGGCCTGCCTCCTGAGTGCTGAGAGTACAAGCATGAGCCACTATGCCCACCCAGTACCACCGTTTGTTTTCATAGTAGACCTTGGTTTCTATCCTTTTAAAGTGAAGCCTGGAGACCATCATCACACTTAGAACAGTGTTATCGCTCAGTGTTGTGGTGTGCCCAGCTGTGGCCATATTTCATTCAGGAGACTTTAGGTGACTCTGTTCTAGGTCCTGGGACAGCATGTGCCCTGCATTTGCTTGACTGTTCAGACCCAAATACATGTTCGGTATACATGAGCTGTTTGGGTGTGCACTCACACAGCTAGGAGCCAGCCACTCACACCGGCAGCACCCAGATGTGCACACAGAGAACTTGTGTCACTTGCCTGAGGTCACACAGCTGATAGCTGCAGACAAAGTGTGTGCCCGGTCCCTTTGCCCTTCACATTACTCCTCCCCAGCACCTGCTTTCGTAAAGAGTGTATACTTTAAAACACACTACCAATTTTAAATCCTCAGCTGAGTGTTCAAACCCAGATGGCCGCCTGGCAAAATTACCCTTGGGCTCAGATCTTGCCTCTATTCCCTAGAGCAAGAAAAAAACTTAGCATCGAAACATACATAGAACAGTTGGGGAAACTGAGGCACAGGAGGCTGCTGGGAGTGGACCTGGAGACAGACGGACAGGGGCTGGGCCTGTACTCTGCAGCTCTGAGCTTTCCCCTTTGCCAGTCTTGATAATCACAGCCAGTATAGACACTGGGTGGGGACAAAGGTCCAGAGAGGTGGCCCCATCACAGCCAGATACTATTGACTCTCCTTGGACAGCAGACCTAGCATGGGCCTCAGCTTCAGAGGACACAGCTTTCCCCTCTTCTGTCTACCCACATTCTCGGAGCCCTTCTTGGGTACCTGATGTGGTGCTGAGTGCTGGGGATACGGACACGCCAGAGTGTGCTGCCAAGAGGGGACACGGGCATCTGCTGAGCTTCCCCTAGTTGGTGAGTGTCCCAGACAGGAGAGCTGGGGTGGGGGGCAGGACAGGAGGCTCTGTTCCCACACATTGGGAACATCCTGCCCAAAGGTTGTGAGGTCCCAGGGGCTGGGCTCTCAGACCTCATGGCCACCAGGGGCTGGACCTTGTCATTCATGGCAGGAAAGTGTTAGGCGCCATGGAAGAAGTGCTTTACTCAAATAAGTGTTACCTCTCCTAGTCGTGGAGGAGAGAGGTGGCTCTGGACAGTCTGGGGACTAAACTGGTATTCATGAGGAAACACCATGAAGGCAGGCAGGCAGGCACTTAATGGCCTTTAACCCTTTTTTCCTTCCAAACTATAGCGACCAAGCCACGGCACAGGCAGCTCAGATAAACGTGCGTCCCATCCAATTCTGGGAACACTGTGCTTGCATTCACAGAAGTTCGTTTTTGAAAATCTGAAGTGAACATCTAACAAGCAGTCTGTGTTTTTATTTGCTCAATCTGGCAACCCTACAGAAGCCCCAGGAGCATGGGCTCAGAGTGCAAATGGCCGTTGTCCTTCCCACTCCCTCTCTGACTCCAGGTAGGGAGCAGAGTTTAGGGTCCTGCTGCTTGCAGGGCCTCCCCGCCCTGGCCTCTCCTCCCCTCCCCTTAGACTCAGCTGTTCACAGACAAGAGCACTCCTTGTCTTATTCTTTTCCAGGATGATTCTGGAAAATGTTTGAAACCAGAAGTGCCCTGGGTTGTGCAACGGGCCTGGAGAGGGCTCTTTTGCAAACAGGGTGATGCAATTTCTGAAAACACACTCTCCGGCCCCATTCTCCCTGGGGATGGAAGCAGGGTCTGGACATTTGGCCACAGGAGACCTTGGGCAGGCAGTGGACTGTGGGGGATGCAAGGCGCTGGTGAGCATGCAGTCCTTCTAACCAGACGTCCTTTGTTCCCTCTGCAGCCTCCACAGGCTGGGCCAAGCCAGCATGGTGGACCACTTGCTTCCAGTGGACGAGACCTTCTCGTCACCAAAATGCCCAGTGGGGTATCTGGGTGATAGGCTGGCCAGCCGGCGGCCATACCACATGTTACCCTCTCCCATCTCTGAGGATGACAGCGATGCCTCCAGTCCCTGCTCTTGTGCCAGCCCTGACTCGCAAGCCTTCTGTTCCTGCTACAGCGCAGGTCCAGGCCCTGAGGCCCAGGACAGCATCTTGGATTTCCTCCTGTCCCAGGCCACACTGGGCAGTGGAGGTGGCAGTGGAGGTGTCGGAGATAGCAGTGGCCCTGTGACCTGGGGATCGTGGAGGAGAGCCTCTGTGCCTGTGAAGGGGGAACATTTCTGCTTCCCTGAATTCCTGTCAGGGGACCCTGATGATGTCTCCAGGCCCTTCCAGCCTACCCTGGAAGAGATTGAAGAATTCTTGGAAGAGAACATGGAGGCTGAGGTTAAGGAGACTCCAGAGAGCAGCAGCAGGGACTTGGAGGCCTGTGGCCAGCTCTCAGCTGGCTCACATCGGAGCCACCTCCATCCAGAGTCTGATGAGAGAGAGCGCTGTACCCCACCACCAGGTGGCACCAGTGGGGGTGCCCAAAGTGCTGGTGAGGGGCCAGCACGTGATGGCCCCATGCCGGTGCTGCTGCAGATCCAGCCTGTTGCTGTGAAGCAGGAAGCAGGTGCAGGGCCAGCCTCCCCAGGGCAGGCTCCAGAGAGCGTCAAGGTCACCCAGCTCCTGGTCAACATCCAGGGGCAGACCTTTGCACTCCTGCCTCAAGTGGTACCATCCTCCAACTTGAACCTGCCCTCCAAGTTTGTGCGCATCGCGCCTGTGCCCATTGCCGCCAAACCTATTGGTTCGGGATCCTTAGGGCCCGGCCCTGCTGGTCTCCTTGTGGGCCAGAAGTTCCCCAAGAACCCAGCAGCTGAACTTCTCAAAATGCACAAATGCACTTTCCCTGGCTGCAGCAAGATGTACACCAAGAGCAGCCACCTCAAGGCCCACCTGCGCCGGCATACAGGCGAGAAGCCCTTTGCCTGCACCTGGCCGGGCTGCGGCTGGAGGTCAGTATTCACGGACAGGCTAGGCGGCAAGCTAGTAGGCGCATCTCTGCTGGCTTGGGCGTGTCGCCAAGGCCCCTTTCTCCATTAGATCAGGTGGATTAGGAAAGGAACAAGGGGTGGACAAGGGGCAGGGGCAGAGCTGGCACAGTCGCTGGGGACTTCCTTGTCCCACTCATTGACTAAAGCCGGAAGCCACCTGGTTTCTGGTTTCTTTAAAGACCAGGTAAGTCTTGCTTGGGCTTATGCTCCATGGGGGTCTCTCAGGCTGGGATGGAAGATGAAGGGCTGGGCTGCAATGGAAGGGCATTCAGCTAGGGAGCAGCTGAGTGTGGTGGCACGCAGGCTATAGGCCAGACGCCCATTGAGGCCTCACAGCATCCTTGGGGTAAGTACCACCATTATACCCATGACATTTCTGGTTACACCCATGACATTTCTGGTCAGGTACATGAAGACTGACTGGCCAAGACTCTGTGAGTGGAATGTGAGTCCCTAGACTTGAACTAGAAAGTTGTACTTCCCTCCAGCCAGGGGATGATCTTTGCTCCCAAGTGTGGGCTGAGCGTTGCCTTGTTTCTTCTCTGGGAACCTGGAGGTGTGTTTGGGAAGCCATAGAGAGCAGCCCAAAGGAAGGACAAATGGCTAGCATATGGGGTCAAAGGTGGCAGAATTATTTAGCCTTCTGCTCCATATAACAGGGTGCCCTGCTCTCCAGGGCAAAGAGCCTCATCCAGACTGCCCAGATGTGATGCCAGGGACCATGGAATCCTGGTGTCACCTTGTCTAGGGCCCTGGATGCTGCTCGTTGTTTTCAGGAGGCTGGTGGCCTGTACAAGCACACATGCTCAGGGTGCTACAGCCAAGTGGAGGATGCTCTGGCCTTGGCAGATAGAGAGTGTGGCAGCATCACCAGCCCATCTTGTCTGTCATGTGCATGTGTGTCAGGTGAGGCTCATCTGTGTGCACAGGGCAGACAGAGCTAGACCTCCTGAAAGAATGCCTGTGCTATATGGGCACACCTGCCTGTGTATTCTGTGACATATGTGTCTTGTACCTGGTGTGGGGTAGCATACAGGAGTAGTCACAGAGGTGGAGTTCTGAGATGGTTTTTGGTCCTGAGGTAATGGTACTGGCTCCAGGGCAGGTGCTTGCCCTCTGAGACTGAGCATGGGGTAGATGACAGTGGCAGTACTTCCTTCCAGCACCACATGAGCCAGAAAAGGAACTTTCTTAGTTAGTGTCTTGGGGTTGTAGAGGCCCTTCCTGAGAGGGGTCACTATCGTCTCATACCTGTTCAGATTCTGGGCTCCCTAGATCTGCTGTCTCAACCTCTCTGAGCCACATGTTTTTGTGAGAGGGGTAGTAAGTGAGTAGGTTGTAAGGCAAAAGGAGGAGCCTAGACAGAGACCTGATGGGGGCTGTTTACTGAGGAAGAAGAGAACAATGGGCCCTGTTTGGAAGAGGCAGTGGGACAGGGGCCTTGAGCCCGACCTGGGGTTGCTATCAACTGGCAACTTCATGTCTGGCCCTTTTTGTTCCCTGGAGCCCAGAGCTAATGTGGGGTCTCACTGTATCTTCTTTTCATGGAGTGAACTGTCAGTTTCCCACAGTCAGACTATGAAGAAGAACCTCAAAGGTGTCCTGCCTGGGCCACTGGCAAGTTTTGCACTTACGGGACTGCTCATGGGCAAGTCACTGAATAGCCTTCATCCAACAGTCCTGACCCAGAAAAATGCTACCTGCCTACCCCAACTGATGCTGCCCATTTGAGTGGCATCTCCAGAGGCAGGGACTTCAGGCTGTAAGATGTGGTCAAGGATGAGGGCTAGAAGGCAGGCCATTGCCCACCATAGTGTCACTCCAGGAAGCATGAGGTCCATGGAAGGGCCTCGGCTCTGACCCTGAGCCTTGCACTGGCCTCACTGTCTAGGCAGAGCCCACTCAGCAAGACTAGGGACATGGTGTCCATGTCAAGGTCCCTGCGCTGTATCTGCTTCAGGAAAGGGCTGGCAGTGTTAGTGTGTGAGATCCCCGGGATATTCTTGGTGATCAGAAGCCTAGGGATTGTGCCTAGAAGGTTTACATGTTCCCTGTGTATGGCCAGTCTTCCACCCAGGAGCAATGGGGTGGCAGTTAGGTGGGAGGGTGAAGCCACACACACTCTGGATCTGGGGACAGAATGGGATGTGATGACAATGAAGATGGTGGTAGTAACATGTCACACTTAGGGATCACTATGTGCTGGGATGATTACAAGCTTCGGAGAGTCCCCACCAACCCTGTCACTTGGGTATGCCCTTCAGCAGGAGCTCATTCTCCCTGAAACTTATCTGGCCTTCAGATGCAAAGAACACTTTGGAGTGTTTGAATTCCAGTCCAGCCTCCTTGCTGTGGCTCACAGCTTGCCCAGTGTGCTCTCTGGCCTTTACCCCTTCTCTAGCAAGATAAGCCATGCCACCATCCCCTCTGTCTCCCTCACTATCCCCATGGGCCCAGGGATGCTTGTGGTGGCCCAGCCTTGGCTGTGAACCCCAGTACACTCATTAACTTGTTGAGTCCTCACAACTGCTCTTCAAGCATATGCAGTAACCCCATTCTACAGAGGGAAATTGAGGTACAGGACAACCAGCTGTCACAAGGATGCATCTAGTGTGTGTGGTTTGAGGGCTGGGGTGTGTCCCCATGGGTGCCACACCCCACTCTGATTCTCCAGCAGTACAGCAAGATTTGAAAGTGACCATAGTATATGCTGTACTTTTGCATAAGGGAGGGAGGGAGGGAGGGAGAGAGAGAGAGAGAGAGAGAGACCTATGTTCACATGCACATGAAGGCCAGAGGTGTTTGTCATATATTTTCCTCAGTAGTTCTCCACCTTACTTTTTGAGCCAGGGTCTCTCGCTGAACCTAGAGCACATAGATTGTCTAAGCTGGCTGGCCAGTGAGCTCCAGCCTGTCTCTATCCTACCAGTCCTGATATTACAGGCACAGACTGTTATGTCCAGTTTTTATGTGAGTGCCGGGGATTTGAACTTGGGTCCTCCTGTTTGCACAGCAAGCACTTTACCAAATGGACCACATCCTCAGCCCCTAGGCTGTGCTTTTTCTATTGTGCTCTTGGCTGTGGGAAAGGAGAGAACAGCAGCAAGCATGGTGGTAACTGCCCTGAGGAGGCCCTGTTCTGAGCATGCTGCATGTTAGTTCCTTTAACTCTTAAAACTAGACTAAGAAGTGGGTCCAGAGGAGGAAATCGAGCCACAGAGCTGGGAAGCACATTCTCCGTGGTCATACAACTTAAAACTTGCAGGTTTGTCCAGCACTTGGGAGGCCGAGTCAGGAGGATCTCTGAGTTTGAGGCCAGCCTTGTCTACAGAGTAAGTTCCAGGACAGTCAGGGCTACACAGAGAAGCCCTGTCTCAAGAAAAAAAAAAAAAAAGAGTCAGGAATTTAACAGATGTTTGCTCCCTCACCCACCCTAGACTAAGAGTGCTTTTGCACACTCTTGCACACTCCCAGGGGAGAGCCTGTAGTGAGGAGAGGCCTCTCCTCCACCTGCAGCTGGACCTGGCTGGTCCAGCATGCTGTATACTTCCCATCTGGCTCTAATGCTGGCATTGGGCCCTGAGTCCCTAACCCTGCCCAAGCCCTTGCCCATGCCCCCACTTCTCCTCAGCCTAGGGGACTGCCCCACAGCCAAGGTGGCACCTGTCCCAGTCCAAAACCCACTGCCTTCTGCTTTTGTGCACCCAGGACTCCCTGTTTCTCCCTGTGGGGACATGGTTTTGCATGCAGGAAGGACTAAAACCAGTCTGCCTATTCTGGTGTAACCATCTGGGAAGTGGCTGTTTGCCGCCTTCCTAGAAGTTTCCTCTCCTCACTTGCAGACACAGGCCTCCTTTGTTCCCTGCAGTGGAACATCCTGTTCCAGAGTGGCCAAGCCGCTCCTTCCAGAAAGAATCTCACTGGGCCACAGCTAAAGTGAATATTAATAGCTGTCAGCAGCCTGTGTGTCATGTACTGCCGGTATCCATGGTGGACATGGGAGTCCTAGAGGAGGACAATAGATTCCAAAACCACTGAGTGTTGTAGGAGGTAGTGGGTACAGGATTCAAACTTTGTGGTCTGGTTTCAGGCCAGCTCTCTTAGCCCTCATCACTGCTGCCCATAGGCAGGGACATGTATGTCCTCTGGTCTTACGGTTGGCAGATGCCCCAAGTATGATCTGAAGGTTATACACTGCACATACAGCCTGAGGGCTGTAGCTTCTGAGATTTGACTATTGACAGTGGCTTGCTGGCAGATGGCAACTGCTGTCTCATGCAGTTCTCATGCTGGCATTCCTGATGGCCCCTGTGCATCTTTTGCCCTGTGACCCAACAGCTAGAGTTATGAGCTTGCCCCACAGATGCCAGGCACCAGGCCTTTGCCACGTACTGGAAAGTCCTGTGCTCTACTCCCTGTGTTCAATGGGAGCTCACAATTCTTAAACAGTTGCCACATCTGAGGCCCCATTGTCATGGTCCCCTGAGATAGGTCTGTCATTGTAGCTGTCCTGAGGTAGGGAAACTGAGGTTTAAGAGGGCTGGGCAACCTGCCCAGACCAATCCCAAGGCTGTGCCCTGTCCAGCTGAAATCCTTTATCTCTTGCTCCATAGCTTCCCCAGGCTTCTCCTTTGGCTGTTGTCAGAGGATGTGACCCAGTGAGGCAGGGGTCAGCTCCAGTACAAGGACAGCCCTGTAATGTACCAAAGGCTGTGGCAGCAGAGAGGGGCTCTGGAATGAAGACAGCTTGTTCCCTGGCATGGCTGCCCCTCAGCTGCCTGTCCCTCTCTGGATGACATATAACCTGTTCCCTGGAAGGCAGGCAGGAAGTGAGGGGGGAAACTGAGGCCCAGGATGCTCAGGACCAATGGGATAGGGACTGTCAAACCTATTCTTCCTTGTGAAGCTCTGTGCCCAATGCCTGCTGAGGGCACATGGCTATGGCACTACCAAGCCATGAAGAGATAGCTGAGAGGCAAGAGCAGACAGGCCAGGGGAGGTGGCCTTGTCCCAGCCTCAGGTGTTCTGTCTCCGTTCACATCACTGTGAGTTCCTCTAGCTGGATGGTCCTCTGAGAGACATCCCTGTCCCAGGTCCCCTGGGACACGGTTTCAGGGCAGCAGCTTGCACAGTAGCTGTACCTGCCTTGAGCAAGTCCTGCACTGTCTGAAGCACAAGAGATTGAAGTCCTTGGTGTCATGAGCCCTGCCTGTTGATGCCATTATTACTCTTGTTTCTCTGGCTGAGGTCAGGATGGCCCACTACAGAATCTGAGCCGAGATGGCCACAGCCCTAGCAACTGAGAGTGATGGCTCTGCTGTCCACCTAATCTGCCTCATCAAGTGGCTCCTCTCTAGAAATGGGGTGTCAGGCCTGGGGCCCCTGTGTGTATATGCAGTTCCTGGGAGTATATGCAGTGGTCAGTGTGTGACAATCTTTTCTCATCCTAGGTGTCTGCTGAGCCCCCCCCCCCCACTTAAATGTACCTTCTGGGCACAGAGAACAGGGACAGCTGAGCAACAGCAAGATGTTGAAGCTAATTTTAAAATGTCGTGGGCTGAAGGTGTAGCTCAGTGGTGGAGGACTTGCCTAGCATGTCCAAGCTTTGGTTCCCTGGCACTCACAAAGGGAAAGCTAACATGGTGGGCAGTGCTGTGAAGCCCTTCAGCGGACAGCAGGCCCCTGAGGAGGTGACATTTGGGCTAAACGATGAGGGATGAGCAGATGAGAACAAGGAGAGGAGAGGGTGGGGTGTGCAAATGTCTTGTGGCAAGAAAGATAAAGTCTGAATAGATGGGCTATGTAGTGGTGGGGTAGCCAAATGGAGAATCTTAGGTCCCAGAAGCCATTGGAAAGCAGCTTGGGCATCTTGGTCTGGCTCTGGCTCTTGCCTGTCCTGTGGATGTCTGTTCACAGGCCTGCAGTGACTGAGAAAGAAGCCATTTAAATGTGTAGACATACCATGCAGGCATATTTGAAGGCATCTCAGAAGGTCCCGTGTCCAGATCTGCAGAATGCCAGAACCAGACAGGCACAAGTCTGAGGTCCTTCCTCTGTGTTGCAGCAGAATCAGGGGAGCCAGGCACTCCTGTGCTCTGAATGAGTCTGGTCTTCCTGGGCCCTTCAGGGAGGGCCCCTGTGGTCCCCTCCTCCAGGGGAAGGTGAGGCCAGTGGATCAAACACTGCTGACCTACTGTTGCCAGTATAGGAGTAATCCGGTGCCCAGGGACTTGGCAACTGAGTTACTGTGTGGGGGAGTGAGTCCCAGCTGGCTAGCAGCCTTAGGTCCCTTCCCATGCAGAACAGTAGCTAGCTACTGTGGGAAGCAGACCCTGGCCAGGAGAGCAAACCTGTGTGCCTTGTTGTCCTTGACTCTTGCCCTCTGGGGGTCTCAGGGGCACTGGGGATTGCCAGGAACTCATAGGGTGGCTACAGAGGTGGTCTAATTGCTTAAGATCCAGCCTTGCTTAGCCTGGCCCACTGCTCCCCCACCCACACCTCCACCTGGCAGAGGAGGCTGTGGCCCTAGCTTTGAGGTCACTCATGGTGGCAGTGACCACACTGGCCTGGCTGACCACCGTGTCCCACAGGTTTTCCCGCTCAGATGAGTTGTCACGGCACCGGCGATCTCACTCGGGTGTGAAGCCGTACCAGTGTCCCGTGTGTGAGAAGAAGTTCGCTCGGAGTGACCACCTCTCCAAACACATCAAGGTGCATCGCTTCCCACGGAGCAGCCGTGCAGTACGCGCCATCAACTGAGTGCAGTGGCCACCCTGTGCTCCCCAGCCCCATGCTTTGTTTTTAGATGCAATAACTTATTGCCTCCTTCAGAAGGATGTGACAATATTACCAGCCCCCTTCTGAATCTTAGGAGGTGTGACCCAGAGCCGCCATGGCTGCCTTTCCAGGGAGGACCTAGAGTCCCCAAGGTCCCTGGGGGCTGGTTCCCCGGTGGCCCAGGCAGGCCTGTGCCCTTGTGCCTTTGTGCCTTCCTGCCAGCTGGAAGGATTGTTTGTGGGGGCCCTTGCCCTTCTCCCTTTGGGCTCCCTTCCTGGGCCAAAGCCAACATTATTGCTGAGGAAGAAGTGTTTTGGCTGTGTCGAAATAGTTTCCAGAGGGAGCCATACTGGGAAAAGGAAGTAGGTCAGAAGTGTAGGGCTGCACTGTGGCCTGAGGACCACCATATGCAATAGGCCTTTGAGGGTCCAGGAGGGTGGCCACCCTCACTCTCGGCCATGATGCATGTGCTTAAATGCAGGGCAAATGGAGCCACACCCATCTGTACTCAGCCTGGCTCACTCACCCTCCTCCATACATCAGCCTCCAGGTGTGATGGGAGCAGATAGCAGCAGGCCTGGCGGATGCAAAGCAACTAGCTAGCGCCTCCCAGTCTGACTTAGATTTGCATTCCGCATCAGGTCTAGAAATTAGTACCAATTGGACTAGCTTGTTTTGACAGGTCTATTTCACATCCTATGAATGTATGTAAATAAACTGTACATAGGTACGCATCTACATAAAATATCTTTTAATAACACATTGACATTTGTGTAAATTTGAAATTAAAAAATTCTATAAAGTCGGTGTACATATGTTACAATTATGTATATTTTCTTTGGTCCTTCATAAAAAAATATATTTACTTTGCCAATAAAAAGAGAAAAAAAAAAGAACTCAACCATTCTTTGGCCCTGTCTTCCTCCACTGGCCGGGGACATGGGGGTGATTCTGGGGCTATGCCCCTTCCAGGTCCCTGTGTGGACCTTCCTCTCTTCAGCCATGTTCTGGGGCCTCCTGTGGGCAGTGTCTCGTGCCAGCTACTCACTGCAATTTGATACCCTTGCTGGGTGCTTCCTGTGTGCTAAGGCACTCATCAATTCTATCGCCCCCCCACCCCCGCCCCAGGAAGGTGACTGGCCTGTTTCCTCCCTGCCTGCTGACTTTGACATCTTAGGAATCTTTTCCAGGCAGGGCATGGACTTAGGCCACTTTCTCTGCCTACCCAACATCCCCGGATGACTGGGGTTTCTGCAGTCGGGTTCTACTCTCAGGTTTGGATTCCAGCACAGGTCTTCTACAGGTTGGGCTCTAGGATCACTGGGAGCAGACAACAAAGGGAAGCTGTGAGCTTTGTAGGGATTGATCCCAGGGAGTTCTGGCCTGGTCTGACAAGGGTTAGCCACCTCAGCTGGTGTAAGGTGCACAGTAGGAAGACCTTCCTGGTTCACCCGTGCACAGCGTAAGGTGAGAACCTTCTAGAAGTGGCCCTTTCCTATTGACCCCACTAAAATAGCTGGGTGCTGACTGGGCCAGAGTTTTCCAGGAGCTCCTTGGAGATCTGGAGACAGCCGGCAGGTAGGTTTCCAGCAGAGAGATTTCTATACCGTATGGTGTGAAGCTGTCAGTCTCAGAATGTGGAGGTTGGCTTGGGGTAGGCCCGCTAATCTGTTCTGTCCAGTGAGAGCTGGCAGTCACTGAGCATTCATGTGTGACCAAACCAGCTGATTAGAGATGGACATCCCATCTGACCAGCTTGTGACCTCTGCCCTTTGCCTGTGACTACATATACCTTCTGAGGATCAACAGGCCCTGGGGAAATGAGACATTGATTTCCAGCTGTGTTAGTGTAATTTCTCTTCATACTAAACAGTCAATGCAGCCACAGATACAAGGGACACTGGTGGGACAAAGGAGCTCTATTTTGTGGTCGTGTTGGTGATACTGAGGAGAGGAAGAAACCATGTCCACGTGTGTCTTTGTGGCCCATGATGGATGAGCATCCTCTTCCTGGTTGTAAAGCCAGCTGAGCTGTGAGCCATCTTGGGGCAAGGAGCGGGGTGGTGGTGGTGGTGGTTATAAGTCAGTATGGGCTCCTGGGCTCCTTGCCCGATGCCTGCATGCTCACCCTGCACTGCAGGAAAGGCTGAGGTGATGCACAGCAAGACAGAGAGGGTGTACGGCTATTGCGGTCTCCCTCATGCAACCTCTCGACGATGTCATTTTGGGTGGGTTTCTGCTGCTCCACATTGCAGCTGGACCTTGCACAGCATGTTGGTGAGAAAGTCCCTGGTCGTATGACGGCCACTGGTAAGTGGGGTGCAAGCCTATATCTCAGCAGAGTGAGGCTAGGGAACTGTGGGACCAGGAGAGGATGAAAGTGGTGTGGCCTGCACTATGCCCTCTCTGTCCTCAGTGCCTTCGGTCTTTGTCCTGTTCTATGTGCTGAGAAGGCAGAAGGAGACCTAGTCCTACAGCACTGCAATTATTTGTATTAGGGGAGGTTATGAAACAGGTAAAATGACCCAAATCTTCCCCCAAGGTCGTGGGGTGAAAAGCAGAGTGCTGTGAAATACTAGTAAATTGTTTTTAATGTTAATGATAAGCAACCCTTGTTCGTGTTTGTTTTCTTTTAAGTAACTGAGTTTCTGGGGGCTGGAGTGATTTGACTCCCCAATTGGCGGTTGTCACACCTTTCCCTGGTGTCAGGCTGCCTTAAGTGATGTACTGCCAGCCCTACAGTTGCCAGTTGCCCTCATGGCACCTGGCTGCTTTGAACCCTCCTGGATGCCTTAGGGGAACTGCACTGTGATCAGCTGCTGGTTGCAAAAGCATGATGCTGGCTTCCGAGGCACCGTCCCACCACACCGTGGTTTCAAACACCTTGCAAGAGACTTTCTGCCCATCACCAGCCTCTCTGAACTCTAGATGACCCTGTCACCATTTCCACTCATACCAGAGAGGAGTCTTCTTCCCCTGGTGGGCTCAGAATGAAGGACTGTGCTATGGTTGGTGCAAGCACAGCTCATTTGCATGAAGCTTGCTTCTGATTGGTGCCAGTAGCCTTGCCACACCCCCTTTCTAGATACATAAATTGGCTTTCCAGCTCCTTTCTTGAGTCAGCTGAGAGGCTGTGCTGCACTTAAAACTAGGCTAGCACAGACTTATAAGAGCCGATAATGAGAGCAAACGGAGAGATGAGAAGCTCTGAAGTTTCCAGAAACAGGGCCCCAGCCTGAAAGCTCTGATGCTATTGGAGTCACAACAGCTTTCCAGAGCTGGACAGCTGGGGGTTAAAGGGCAAGGCAATGAGCCTCCTGCCTGAGCACTTAGAACACTGAGTCTCTGGCTTCTACACCTCGCCTCCATGCAACTTGCTTTGTAACTCAAACTTGCCATCCTCCTGCCTCAGCCTCCCAAGTGTTAGAATAAAAGGTGCATACTAATACACTAAGCTTCCTATGCAGCAATTTCTACCCATGTAGAACAAAAGGTCCCCAACCCGCTTATCCTAGTTTGTTTCTGTTGTTATACTAAACACCATGGCCAAAGGCAAACTGGGGAGGAAAGACTGATTTCATCTCACAGAGTCCATCACTGAGAGAATTCAGGGCTGGAACTTGAAGCAGAGATCATGGAGGAGTTCTACTTTATTGGCATTGTTGCCTGCTTCTGCAGGCAGCTAGCAACTGGTACTGTCCACAGTGGGCTGGGCCCTTCTCCATCAATTAGCAATTAAGAAATCCGCCCCCGCCCAACACACAGACAGGCAGACATGTTCCCAGGCCAATCTGATAGAGATAATTCCTCAGTTGAGACTCTTTCTTCCCAGCCATATCAAATCCATAACCAAGATCCACTATCACAGCTCATTGGTAGCAATCACAAAACAAAATGTAGCCATAGTGACCTACATAGTGTTTGCCCGTAGGCACACAATTAGACCATGGCTAATAACAGGTAGCACACAAGTCAGCTTGCTGCAATGCAAAGTTCTGTGCTCTAAACAAAGTAGACAGACACATTCCTCTATATAAGCGGTCTGAAGGAAAGTAGTGTGGGCCAGTGTGGTGGCTGCTCTGGGTTGTAGTGTGTCATCATCGATGGCTCACTGGAGGAAAGCAAGTAAGGGGCCTCATGCTCTTGCCCAGCCCCCAGGCACTGCCACTTCTACTCATGCCCCAATGGCTAGGATGTAGCCACATGGCCTCTGCTCCAGTGCCCTCAGTTAGGAAACCAGGGTCCCTTACTGGTTTGAGTAGACAGTTGCAGCTTGCCCTGCCTGCCTCTTGGTTGCAAGAACTAGCAGATCTCACCTTCCCAGGAGTCTGCAAAATAGCATTTTTGAGGCCATGATTAATTTTGGCTCCTGGGGCTTTATGAGTGTGATTTAGGGGCATCCCTGAGGAGTGTGGAGCCAAGAGTAGAACTTCTATAGCAGTGGGTTGTGAGGAGGGAAAACTGGAACCAGAGAAGCCAGGAACTTCCCATACAAGCTGCCTTGGTTGAGGAGGCGAGGTCACAGATTAAGGAATCCTGACTGTGAACAGAAGCAGAGCCTCCAGTACTACTATGAGATACTCCTGAATAGAGCCAAGACCATGCTGGGGCCATAGGGAGGAGGGGACAAACTAGTTTTTCATATATTGCATTGGCTAAGAGTGTCAAATGCACAGGCAGGGAGAGCTGCTGGGGGTGCCTGTGGACGTCACAAGTGTGAAAAGGGTAGTTGAATTCAGGAACTAGGTATGAGCAGGTCCTATTTGATTTGAGGCTATGCACACATAGTAGAACCCTTCTAATACACAGAGTGAGCAACACCCAACACATGTCTGGACCCTACCACTTTCAGTAAGGAATGGATGAGGGGCTGGAGAGATGGCCCAGCAATTAACAGTACTTGCTGCTTTTTCTAAGAGTTCAGTTCCTAGCACACACATGGTGGCTAATGACCATCTGTAACTCCAGCTCCACAGGATCAAATACCCTCCAACACACACACA